TTAAAAAGGTTACAACCTTGTAGTCCCGAAATGTCGGAGTGAAGTGCAGAGAAAAGCTTTTGGATCCTGTTACTTGCTAGACCAATGGTCGTAGATTAGGTCGACAGTATGTGGAAATGCATATGCCTCAGTAACAATACTTTCGCTACCTTTCGGAAAATAACTTCCAGAATGGTCACTCGATATGCTCACGCCTGGTTCATCTTCTACGATTATCGAGAAATACCACGTTCGTTGTCTGAGCAGCGAGTGAAGGGTCATATTATGCCTTGGAAAGAGAATATAATCTGATTTCCCATCTTGGTCCATATCCATATTTAACTTTTAAATATGGTTTAAGATAAATAAACGCGACATATCATCCAGCAATTTTCCATTTCTTATGAGAGTAGTTTGACCTTGTGGTACGGCCAGGTAGAAGAAGGCTTTAGAATATCACATTTCCTTCCATCCTTCCTTGTATCTTTTTGTCGAAACGGCATCGACTTTCTGTAACGTTAGTAGTGTTATTTGTACTTGCTATTAGATTGTTAAATCGCTGTACATTTCTACTGTACACGTGTTCACAAGTACACCAATATGCCAATTATATATACCAGTATGAGGCAGACAGTTTAAAAACACCTGATCTGAAGAAAAAACAGACATTCCCGAACGCATCATTACTTGAACATTCCTATCCTATTCCATCATTTTCTCACAGCTTATCGTACCAGATGTCCTGCGTAATGGGCTCTGCACTGTCGGTCGGATTTCGCTTTTACGATATCAAATAGTGTTCGTGAATGGTAAGGTAAATAATAGATCTCTTCAAAAATACATATATTTTTATTTGAGTACCTTAATACTGCTTGATTGCAGAATCCACCACGAATCAATCAGGATTGCCTCACACTTGGCGTTTCGACTGCGATCCTGGATCGCCCAAAAGGTGACGATTCGATAGTGATTGGTAAAATCACTGCCCGTCAGTGGATGACTTCCATCATCTTTCCTCCCTTCTCCACCAGAGCCGGCTTGACAACTTATCTGTTGTCGTTGCCAGTCGTTGTACAGCTGACGTCAGGTCTCTTTCCCTGATGCCTAATGCTGTAAATATCATCAACATGGTCTGTGCAGGGAAGCCCCATCTCCAATAAGACCCACACACTCTATCCTTTTACCCTCACTTCCTCAGGATACTTTTCCTTTTTAAGTTCACCGGCCTCCTGGCATCGCTCATCCTAGGGGACAGTAAGCTCTATCATGACTATTATCTTCTCTTGCTGTGACCAGAGTAGCATATCTGGGTTTAAATTGGTTTGGTTGACCTATGGGAAGACCAGTCTTTCTCCCACGTCAACCCGCACATCCTGGTGTGCTGTTGTCACATTGCTGCCCGCCGCTTCAGCCCTTGCAAAGTTCATGTAAGGTCGTCGTTTTGTACATCTCTGTTTTTCTATCTTTCATGCTCCAGCATGTCTGCTTGTTCCCGCAAAACATTGTTATGCCTACATGTATATCTGCCCTTGGTTAAAGCATTTGTCACGACAAGAGCACATGGGCCAGGTTATCTGGTGGGTCATATAATGGACAGTTTCAAACCCTATCGATGTATGAGGAGGAGCTAGATTTTACATAGTTTCACTTTCCAGACGTTTGTCAAAGTAAGATCTCTGTCTGTAGTCTCCCATCTTGTCACACACTGCTCCCACATCTACCACTTTCGTCTTCCAAATAGCTTCCTCTCTCTTCACATTGTTTTGGACCATCTTAATTCTACCAACTTTGTCTGCTGATCCCCAATGTTTAACCAGTGATACCCCAAGCCCCTGTTTGACTATGCACATGGTACCAACAATGTCGTTGTGCTTTAGTCTACTTTCTACCTGCTGGACGACGTTGCTTGTTGACCACTTCCGATCGGTTCGAGTCGCGACTCCAGCATTCCCGATCTCCTGATATTTGGAGTCCTTTATAGACATCACAAACCTAGCCTCCTAATCTTGAATTCTTCCACCAGTGATGATATTAGGAGTTATAGTTAGGTTGTTTATCTGTACAGACTGATGTTGTTGAAGCTTGGGGAACTCCAAGCCAACGTCGAAGACATTTGCTGCTCTTCTTTTCAGCAGCTTCCACTATTGACGTGGTAAATTATTACAGTGTGAGAGTCCAAGTCAGGCGGGAAGGATCCCTAGCTAGTAAATCCATGATATGGCAGCTCTGTGTTGTCGATATTCCTCAGTCTTCCTTTCCTGTGTCTGCAACCGTTTGATATTCTTGTTTTCGTTCAGGGAAGCATCAAACCAATCCAAACCAAACACTTGATGGAATTATCATCATCGTCGCTGTCACCTCCTGCTGCATCAAGCGCTTGCACATTTGACATTTAGGTTACCTTCTTTTTAATCTTATCCTTGTCCACCAAACAGATTCGTCAAAAGTTGATTAAATTCATCGCGCCTGCACATGTGTGATGGTTGTTATGGTCAAGTCTTCCATGAAACCTTTGTTTGATCATAATCACAAACCTGATGAAGTTTGAGGTCCTCTAGTTTCACTGGCTGCAGCCTTGATGATCAAGTTTATACAAATTACGGAGAGGATCACAAATATGGTGAATTTTGTCTCGATACCCTTCACAAGTGCAGAAGATGAGGGCAATATCTCTCCTACTGTGAATCGAATACGAATTGATGAGGAGAGGAGAACTTGAACAACAAATAGACAAATAATCCTTTGATGTACACGTTCATCTAACATGTATAATATGTGCCCTGAAATGGCTAGTATTAGGATGTTGATTGCTATATACTTTATAATAAATATAATCTTTCAGCGAGATCTTGGCGCTCAACATCTGTGGTCACATAAATAAATTTGTAATAGAGGTCACACTCTACAACGGGAGGTATCTATTAGACATAGAGATCACATTCTACAATGGGAGGGATCTGTTTATTATAGAGGTCACACTCTACAACTGGAGCGATGTATTTGTTATAGAGGTCACACTCTACAACGGGAGGTATCTATTAGACATAGAGATCACATTCTACAACGGGAGGGATGTATTTGTTATAGAGGTCACACTCTACAACGGGAAGGATCCAATCGCTATAGACGTCACACTCTACGTTGGGAGGAATCTGTTTGTTATACAGGTCAAACTCTACAACGCGAGGTAACTATTTGTTATAGGTCTCACAATCTACTACGGGAGGGATACATATGTCGTATAGGTCACACCCTACAATCGGGGTAGGGGAGGATGTATGGTTATACAAGTCACACCCTACAATCGTGGTGGGGGAGGATGTATGGTTATACAAGTCACACCCTACAATCGGGGTAGGGGAGGATGTATGGTTATACAAGTCACACCCTACAATCGGGGTAGGGGAGGATGTATGTTTATAGAAGTCACACCCTACAATCGGGTAGGGGAGGATGTATGGTTATACAAGTCACACCCTACAATCGGGGTAGGGGAGGATGTATGGTTATACAAGTCACACCCTACAATCGGGGTAGGGGAGGATGTATGGTTATACAAGTCACACCCTACAATCGGGGTAGGGGAGGATGTATGTTTATAGAAGTCACACCCTACAATCGGGGTAGGAAAGGATGTATGTTTATAGAAGTCACACCCTACAATCGGGGTAGGGGAGGATGTATGGTTATAGAAGTCACACCCTACAATCGGGGTAGGAAAGGATGTATGGTTATACAAGTCACACCCTACAATCGGGGTAGGGGAGGATGTATGGTTATAGAAGTCACACCCTACAATCGGGTAGGGAAGGATGTATGGTTATACAAGTCACACCCTACAATCGGGGTAGGGGAGGATGTATGGTTATAGAAGTCACACCCTACAATCGGGGTAGGGGAGGATGTATGTTTATAGAAGTCACACCCTACAATCGGGGTAGGGGAGGATGTATGGTTATAGAAGTCACACCCTACAATCGGGGTAGGGGAGGATGTATGGTTATAGAAGCCACACCCTACAATCGGGGTAGGGGAGGATGTATGGTTATACAAGTCACACCCTACAATCGGGGTAGGGGAGAATGTATGGTTATAGAAGTCACACCCTACAATCGGGGTGGGGGAGGATGTATGGTTATAGAAGTCACACCCTACAATCGGGGTAGGGGAGGATGTATGGTTATAGAAGTCACATCCTACATTCGGAGGGAGTTATATTGCAATATTTTCGTTATGAATGCTACAATCTTTAATTGGATTATATAGTGATAGAAATACATACTTCAACTTTGTGATTATTTACGTTTCATTTCAATGGAAAACGGAATTAAGGAATTAACGAGGTTGACACACTGTATAGTTCGATATTGTTTATCATATATTTCGCATTCTCGATTCAGCGGAAATATAACATTGAAAGCCTTTTAATGAGGCAACTGACTTTAGAAAGATGTATATTTGATTTGAGAATAAAAGGAATCATAAGACAATTTATCTTACCTTTCTATTGTCTATTTACTATGGACATCATGTTCGTGTCTAAGATTTCTTACATTAATCTTTGACCTATCACTATATTCATTCGAATGTTTTTGATATTCTGTCTGTCTTTAAATACTTATCTCCCTATTGCGAGTATTGTATCATTCTGTTGCTTTTAAAACCAATAAAATGCTTATATATCCAGTATATCCAGTCCATTTATTACAAAGTGCCGCAGGTTCATATCTGAAAACAAACACAAATGGAAATGCCGAGGGCATTACTCACTTACGTTTGCGTTCTGCATGAATAAATAAAACAAATACTGTATTTCGTCTAAAAAAAACTATGATCTGTTTGTTTTATTATCATGTCTAATTACTATATATTAGATATATGTTCTAAATTTTTAGATATAGCAAGTAGATCATTAAAACGTGTTGGAGTACATGACACGTGACCGATATTTGAGAGCAGAGCATCCATGTAAACAGGCTGAGCTTCAGAGCTTTTAAAAGACTCTGTATTGGGAGTGTTTATGAAGGATGGTGTTACAAAAGTCTGACAACAGTGTTTCTAGTTGATGCAGTATTGTTGCTGCCGATTTACAACTGTTTTACTGAATATAAACAACGTACTGAAACACACTGGAGGTTCAACACTCTAACGTAAGTTTCAATAACATTTCTGATTAGAAGAAGACCTGGTATAACTGTGTATATAGATACACTACCTAGAGTCCAGACCGTCAATATGTTGTAACTGTTTTCCCGTATGTTATCATCAAGTCTCATCTAATTTCTATTTGCTAGACATATACTAGTTACTGTATATTAAGCAGAGGCTAAATATTGTCATATTATAGTTTAATGTGCTAGTATGATATATTGTCGGATATCATATATGTATTCATCAATTATTTCTGTGCCTATGTGTACATTTCCCCTTCAATTCAGTATAATTCATATCTTAACAAATGTTTACCTTGAAAGTAAATACTCTTCAGTGTCCCAAATAAAAAAAACAGAATTTTTAAAACTATATACCTACCTTTCCATCCGACATATAATTTAGCTGCACCGCAATCATTTGATAATTCAAGACAGGAATGTAATGGGTTTTACTATCCGCTTTCTTTTCCAGACATTCCCCTATACATATGTCTTTAGTTTAAACAATATTTTATTCAATATTCAACTTTGAGATATACATATAATTCAAAACTTAATGAAGAGGGTTTGGTAACAAGCTTGAAGCTTATGTAAAACCATCTCCTAAATTGTTTTTACCATAGGTATATTAGCAGAGTGGTCTTATTCAACTAAAAAAGGAATGCTGATGTCAACAATAAGATTACAATCCGAGTACTGACCATGTGTTTGAAATGTTATAGCGTACAGCTTAAATATGAGTTATTATTATTCCCTATATTACCTCGAAGATGAATAATGCAGAGAGTAAAGAACATTTATACATAAACTTTACGGTACAGATAAACAAAAAAACATTATAAATAGTATACAAAATTAGACATGTACATAATAAGATGGTTGCACATGCACATGAAAAAAAATCTAATTAATATAATTCCATAGAGTATATGTAGAAGAGTTATAGATACAGTTTTAATTCCACATGTCAAGGAAATTGTCATACAAATTAGGATTATCTTTGAGACATATATAAAGTGAGTAGCATAATGATAAATAGGTATTAATACGTTTGTGTAAATACAATAATGTGCAAGATATGTACTATAATGATAATTTTGTAAGCCTACATCACACAGGGGTTGGGGAGTCCCCTACCAGCAAGGTGTTGAAGGCCCAATAATTTTCACAAAATATGTAAATATGCCATGCACATATATCATCATTCCTTAGCATAATTGATGCATACATTACTTATAGTAATAGTAATATAGTAATTTGCAATGGAGACTGTTATACAATACTTTACTTACGGATGTTTTCTTGAGGAGCGACAATAACTTCCCACGTAATTGATTATACCTGTGATATCAGTGACTTTATGTGTGCAAATGAAATAACAGTTTAATTGAAAATAAAAATCTATTTCTTATACATTTGAATTGATCAGATATGACATAATATACTTCATTCTGTTTACAAGATCTGGTTTTTTTCTCGTGTATTATAAATGTGTTCTTTGTGTGTTAGATATAATTCCTATTACATTTAAATATATATATACATATTAATAGAAGAGACATGAAAGGATTGTGAATGTGTTTACAAGCTACAATAATACTATTGTTAACAGTAATTAAGTACAAATGGTAGTGTTTTTTTTATAAATATGAAATATCATGATATAACACGCCGTTTCATACCAATACAGTTACTTTCAATGTTTACTCAGTTGTAGAAACAATTTAATATGTACACGAACGCCATCATAAAACTGGTAAATGTTTATATGTGTTTATATATATATATTTCAATATCTACCCAAATCAGACTCCATGAAACTACTAAATGTGATCTGTTTCATTTACCGATGAATTTGACCAGATTAACATTGCCAGTGCGTATGAATACAAATGTTAGGTAAGGGCAGAAAACTCCCCAACTTCTACTAGACTGGCAATATACCACAAGTATGAGATTTAAAAACATCAAAATAAAAATCTAAAAAACAGAATTTTGTATTCAACATTTAATAACTGTAACTTTACGTTTCAAAAGATGTGAAGCGACTGAAGCCTGATATTTCTTGTTCTCCGCTTCGGTGCATATAAAAAATGGCCGACACCGCTTCGTTTGCGAACCGGCGCACCACGTCTAGACGTTATTATTCCGCTGGAAAAAATGCATACATCATTAAAGTTGTCGAAAAATATGTTAAATTTTGTTCTTAAGTTTCATTGAATATTAAGTAATCACGCTGAAATATATTTCAACCTGTCACAATAATCTGTCTTTAAATGACGGACTATTTGCTTTTATGATGCCAAAAGATATGACGACTAGAAACGAAAATTAAAGTAGAAGATAAAATGCGTCAATTTCCATGCTATAGAAAAAAGAAGCGTGAATTGAAATATAAGGATTGAATCTTGCTTATGTTGATTTCATGGGATGATAAATTAAGTTGGTCTTGAGACAAATTCAACATGAACTGCTTCGCAGTTCATTAAAGGGCCTGTTTCCAGTAATGTTAATTCTCCATAGGAGCCTGCCCCCGTATAATTTCTTATCTAGCTCAACTACTGTTTTTTTCTTTTCCGAAAAATAATTTTACACCTTTCCGACACCCAGATTTCATAATTTCAGTGAAAATGTATTTTTATAAAGTTGTCAATTTCAGCATCAAAGACATAAGTTTGTAAATAAAAGAAGGTTATCTCGAGATTGTAATTCGCAACATAGTATAAATTTCTTTTGATAAATATTTCCAAAACATCGTGTTTATTCATAAAACATAAAAAAAACAAATATTCTCGGATGAAAATGCACATACAGAGATACAAATATGAAGAAAATGCCATAAATTTGCAATTTTCTCCCGTTATGTAGTTTTGGATGCAAATTTCCATTAGAAAATCGGATAGAGCTTTACTTCTTTCATATGTGTACCAAAAATCAGCTAATTCCATGTGGTGGAACGTTCTCATATCGCCGCCTGAATGTGGTTGTAAATTGAAAGAAAAGGGGAAATGAGTAACAACCTTGTCTGAAACCCTATTATATAGCTTATTATATACAAACTTTTATATTGAATATCAGAGTGGATATTTTCATGACAGTTTTATGATGTGTAACTACTAAATAAATAGTATCGATATAAAGATTTACACTGAGGACACCCTGATACATGAATACTGTTCTATCTCAAGCTGTCCTCTTCTGAATTTTCTGATCGTGTGGCCTTGTACATTTATCCGTATCTTCTTGTCTTTGTCTATACGTTTACGAAATCATTCACTCGACGCTAGCTATTCTTGTGTCAATTTCCTTGTTTTATTGTCCCATCTCCAAAGCGTTGTGGCTCTGTCAGGGTTGGGACCCTGACTTGTCTCACATTCTTTGTGCCTGCCGACCATGCCACATCGAATAGATAGATTATCCATATGAAATACTTTATTTTGTTCTAAGTAATCAATCAATTCTGCGCTTCTTGGAGGTATTGAATGTGATTTATTATATTGTCTTGTTATTTTGTGTAATTAGTTGTTCGTTATTTATCACACATTTTCGCATAATTGTACCAAACTACTAAGTATTAGCTATTTACAACAATCATCGGTGGCTTGCTATTTTGTTACTTTATCGACGCTTCATAAACCAATCGTTATTGTTTCAAGATGGAGGGTTAATGTGTTGGAGAAGAGTGTCAAGTATACTTCAAGAAACGTAGTGGCAATAACAACAAAAGTGCACGCAATGTAAATAGTCCACAATATAAATGGCTCCTAGATACGCTGGTGAAACAAGGATTGATGTCAGCAAAGGAACAAGCATTTATTTGCCAGAAGTGCTACATGAAGTATCTTCGGAACAAAAATCAGCCTGAACCTGAACCCGAGCAGAACCAGGAAATAGAGGACGAAGACGACTCCCCGTCCCATATCCTGCCGTTGCTGACCCTTCATGATCTTTTGAATGGATCATCTTCACACGAAAAATGCTGTCTCTGTCTTGTTACCTTTCCAAAAAATGGACAAAAATCATCAGTCCATCACGTTACCAAAACGTGCAAGACATCACCTGATCTATTCACACAAACTGTGGTGTCCCACCTCATCCCGCGTCTGCTCCATTCACCTTCTTGGTAACGACTTAGATCCGTCTACAGAGGTTGTCCTTGATGGTAGGGGTTCCTTGGAATCTCAGTTACCATCAAAATCGTCCGAAATCATTAAGGACCTCCTAGAGGTGTCGCACGTCCTTTCACAGAACCAGTCTGCGTTTACACTAAGCTTTTCTTCTCTTGATGACTCGGCATGCATGGCCTGGACAGGTTGGTCCAAAGATCAGTTCCTCGAAATCCACTCCCACTGTTCCCCATATCTTTCATCTGGTATATATACCAAGACTACACACGATGCTCTATTACTGTTCTGGGTAAAACTGAAAACCGACATTTCCTGGAGTCAGTGTTCTTCTCTTTTTGGAATTTCCAAGTCAAGTGTGTCCAAAACTTTCTACTCCATAGTACAGGCATTAGACACATCGATAGTCCCACAATTTCTAGGTCCGGATCACTTGACAAGAGAACAATTGCTCGGGCACAATACTGTCTTTTCAGAAGCATTTTTTGGAGATAAAGCCACTGCCATATTAGATGGCACCTATATTTATATCCAGAAAAGCTCCGACCACAAGCTCCAGAGAATGTCCTACTGTGGCCAGAAGAAGAGAAACTATGTCAAATTCATGAGCATCGCCTTACCAGATGGCTACATTCTGAACACCGTACGACCATTCACTGACAGCGAAAATGATGCTACAATTACAATAAAAGTCATGGACAAGCTAGTTACTTGGCTACAACCAGACGACAACGTTGTCGTTGACCGAGGTTTTAGAGATGTCCTACCAGTTCTCGAAGCCTCTGGCCTCAATGCTAGCATGCCGTCATACCTGAAACCCGGTCAAAGTCAACATTCTGACGTCCAAGCAAATCTTGACAGAACTATCCCCAAAGCGAGGTGGAGTTTGGAATCCTATCATGGTCGTCTGAAACACTGGACGTTCTTCCGAACGCAATTGGTGTCTAACAACTTTATCAATGTCATTGAGGCTTTGCTTCGAACCGTCACAGCCTGTCTGAATGGCATTAGAGGACCGATCTACCAGAGATCTCCAGAGAGAGAGATGCCAAAGATAGGCTAATGGCTGAACGTATGAAGGACCGTTTGACAACACCGAATGGTTCAGCTCAGAGAGTCAAGATAGATCCGGATCTATCTAGACGGGCAAGGTCCGAGTTTGTCAAGATGGATGCATCTTCCGTACTGTTTCCCCGTCTCGATCTTGATTACTTGAGAACCATTACGTGTGGAACGTATCAGATATCTCTGGCTCCTGGTTACATCGCCGAACATTTAAGTGACTATGAGGTGTGGCTTTACCAGCACTCCCCACACCTTCTCCGATGTCAAATACATTCTCGACACAAAAGCCAAACGAAATATAACGTTTGGATACGGTTCACCGTTTCACCCGATGTTGAGGCCCCAATAAAGGACTACTACTGCCAGTGCCCAGTTGGAGAGAGAACGATGGGAATGTGTGCGCATATCTCCAGTATCTTGTACTACCTTGGGTATCACAGGACGCTGGAAAACCCTCGACCATTACAATCACAGGTAAAGAAATTCCGACAAAACTTGAAATAGTTTCCATGCGGCAACGGAGTGCATATGTCGAAAGTATGTTTGGGGCTCGATATGAAAGATCCCCGTTACCATGTGACTTACCAAACTTATAAATATAGGTATTATACAATCGCCCGTAGCTATGAACACTCCCGTAAATGCGAAAACCAACCAAAATAATAAGAAACACGTTTTGTTTGTTGTTCTGTCTATTTGTCAGCCAATGTCTTCAACCACGGGGACTTGTGAAGTAGCCATCTTGGATGTTTTTATGAAAAAGTGTTTCTCTCACTTTTTTTCATATCTGTGTACATATTCTCAACATACCGAGCAAATACTCTCGTTTTTTGTTAATTATCTAAAGAAAGTCGAAAATCGGCAATTCAACCATAGGCTAATTCAACCCAACATTTGAAAATGTTCCACCACTTACATTTTGATGATTTTCCTCTCATCAATAGCATATTACGTACTATTTAATAGGGTAAAAATTGGTTTGCATCCAACGCCCATAAAAGGGTGTATTCTCTAAAAAACACAGTTTTTGTGTCTAAAATGTTATCATCGAAAATGGCATTTTTGAGATTGTTTCTTCCATGAAACAGCCAAATGGCGCGATGAAAACATGATTTTTTGTCACAATCATGCCATGAATGTATTCTTTACGGTGACTATCATTTGATTAAATTTTCATTAATATTTTACATAACATGCACATTTTATCAACACTTAGACAGCTTCTGAAAGGTACAACTTTGAGGAGCCATAAAAAACAAACCAAGTGACCTAAATCTTTATACTTTATAGATTTGTGACCACAACGGCATGTGCAATGCACCATCAACAGGAAATTTGAATCAGAGAAGGGGCTGTTTTGGAAACCGGCCCTTTGTCTCAAGACATATATTGCGCATAGTTGTTTTAAAATGTAAATTAGAACCAACAGTTCGTGTTTAAATAAAACAAACAGCTACATTTACTTAGTGACGTGTCAAAACTACTTGGTCGCGATGGTGGCTTGTTTATATTTTGACATAGATACAGTATATATAAAATATCACCAGAAGGGCAGGTTAAAGTGCAATTGAAACAAAATTACACACTTACCCTCAGTAGCGTCCCTATAATCTGATCTCCTATCACTGTGAATGTGCACCACACAAATCTCTTTGTCCGATTCACTATTGTCCTTGTAATTTTAGTATCATATTTCCATGAGAACATCCGCTCAGAAATAGCCGGACGATCATATCTTTCACGTCCATTGGAAGTTTTCAGAAATGTAAGCAGACGACAACAAAAAAATTACGTCACATAATGTCACGTGACTACGAAATCTAAATGTACAGTCATAGAGAATTAAACACGTCGCCATTGTGACCGATTACTTGCTGGTACCTGGTACGTACCCTTTCCTCATAAAGATGGAAGCAAATGTTAACAATTAGATTAGATGTAGTTTTCCTGCGTTGATATAATAAAATTCTGATGTTATTCTTTTCCAGTAATAGGATGGAAATAGTAACAGAACCCAGACTCAGTCTAAGACTGATATCAAAATGTCTGTTCATCTTGGACGTGCAGGTTCTCGTGCTAGGTGTCGTCATATGGACAAGCCATGAAGACTTCAAGCTCCTGTCTGCGTTCTTGGTGATTTCTGGAACACTGGTACGTTGTTTTAGCTCTACAGCGCATAAAGATACATGGCCATCGTTGTAATGTATATTTATGGATACTATCAAAAACCGTCATTTTAATTTCGAGAAAGTATAGGTAGAGAATAAGAACACATTATGCCTGACGATTAATGGAATTTCTTGTTTTTTCTTTCTAATTATCATTTGTTTCAGACGAAAGTAACTAGCTTAACTATTTGCTTTGTATCTTAACAACGTCCTGAGTATGTACAGGTAAATTAGGGCTGCTGAACTGATTTGTACCATTATTTTCCATCATTAAAGAATAATTGCTTAGAATTGTTGTTTTAGATAAAATCAATTTTGTATGTAGCACAGGTGTGCTAGATAACATTTAATATTTAATGATTTAATGATTTTGATGACTGATAAAATATTCAGTTTTCAATGCAGGGAATAGAAAAAAAATAATGTGAAATAACAGGAAATTGTTAATGTAATATTATACATGTTCTAGCATGTCGATGGTTGTAGGGGACAGACTCTATTTATATCCAACAACAATAATACAGTCGGGTATCCAATGATTTACAATATGTGGTTCAATGATAGTCATATACACCTGGTGTGCTGTAAGCACGAGTGCACACGGTGGTTCTTAAATTACACACACACATGTATATTACGTGGAAGTAATATTGAATTCATGTGAAATGCCAACATAACACTAACAAGGTGTTGAGCAACAGCCATCTGATCTAGCCCAACGAGAAAATATCATAATGTCAACATAATCATATTCAAACTTTAATTCAGTAAAACAAAGGCGAAATATGAACAAAAGAAAGATTTACACAAAGGCTCCTAAAAAAATACAAAGCGAATAAGAACAGATGTTCCGGAAGAGTAAGTTCTGCTTCATCGACAACACCAATGTAAATCTTTTGTTGTTGATAGGTGAAGATAAGCTATATTTATTTTCATATATTCAAAAGGGGATGTTAATTGGAACTAGCGCATGTCTAGCAGAGACAGGACACAAGAACTCCTCAGCCAATTTTATGACTCGGGTTTGTGTAAGTATTTGGTTCACCATTCTTTTGTTTGCTCCTTTTTGACACGAAATAAGTTCTTACAATGTCTTCGTATTTGTATTGTACACTTCTATCCATATATCAATGATTAATCATTTATCAATTACGTGAATTATCATTCAACATTTAGTTTTTTAGTGTTTTAAATACGCAAATGTAGTGATTTTTGCACATTTATTTCATGCTTGAATTATTTAGTTTTTAGAAATGAAATAAGGTTATTTTCATCCGTCAGTGTAGTCTTGCATTGGAATATAGAATTATAATAAAATGATTTTGGCGATAAGAAATAAATCGTTTTGTAACTTCTTGATACCGCTAGAACTACATCTGTAAAGGAGTAAATACGAGAAAATGTGTGGTCTTCATGCAATATTGTTGTCAGCGAGTTTGCGTTCAGGCTGGTAAGGGAATTACAAAATGCATTAATTCCCAATATAGATGAAATGCATCACAGGTAAGAAATAAAACCAATGATGACAGACAGAATTATGATATTCGGTTTTAAGGCAGACAAACATATGAAAACAGCACGATAACAAATGTAATTGCCATAATTCGCCTTGTCTCTTGGTATACTGCGCTGTCCTGTTATCATTACCACGCTGTCGTTTTAAGGGCATGGCATGATCTTGATATTACAGTTTTTCACATTGCGGATATTGTTGATGAAAGAATCACACAACACAATTTCCTTCGAACATTGCCAAGGGTGTCAGTATATTAATATATAATATATTATATAAATCTGTTCATTGTTTGTTGCATATGAACACAAAAGAAAGCAAACACACATGACTGTCACACAGCTACACATTTCTAGACGCAGTATGTGTACTGAACATGCAGTCTAGAAATGGACAGATACTCCAAGATGTACGAAACGTGTAGCTTTGTATCTTCAATATGCATGCCTCACCACAATTATAATCCCAGATCCTTGTTCACGAACGTAAAATACAATGATGTACAATATTCAAATACATCTTTTTCTTCGACCAAATGTTCAAACTTAGAGAACACGTTGTAGAATGAGGCTTATGTAATAATTTTCTGTAATTTTCTAGTTTTATTGTAAATTAGTATGGTGTTCGCATTTAAGTGGAAATAGTTTTCACAAGTGCATGTCATGGTCAACCTATTAACTCTATATTGGTTCATCTTGAAGAAATAGATAAGAAGAACAACCCGGCCCCGTGCACAATTTGAAAATATCTTAAAACACAGAAAGAAATTAATTAAAATGTGGGGTCTGTATACTTTTAAGTCGGAGATTACCTCTCATAAACAAAGAACTCTGAATCAAGGCAATAATTTAAGGGGCCGTTAACACCCACCCTAAACCTGAACTTGTACTTCCTTGGGTATCACAACATCAACAAGATATCAGGACTGTTGTCTTTGTGATTTTTACATGTCATTTTTAAGAAAACGAAAACTTTCAGAAAAATTAAAAAAAAAAAAATTATTTCTGTACAGTAGCATGCATGACATATTTTGTTTATTGTGCTGTCATATGATAGATCAAAGCTGACTTTCATTGGAAATAGTATTCCGTGTGATGACACTTAATTTGTGCTCTTATATTACAGGGAAGGATTTTCAACACTGACTTCATTCTGTTCGCCGGGATTCCATTGGTACTCGTTACCATCATAACTTGTGCTTTTTCCATCTTTTCCTTACAAACGACTACCCTGACCTTCCATAAGTCTCCGACCCCGTACTCTTTCCTTATCTGTGCCACTGCATTGACAAGCATGTCGGTAGTCGCGGTATCTGCTTTTGTGAAGTCAGTGTTAAATCACCAGCTAACAGTTGGAGCATTACTCACGCCATATCAGTCTCTTGAGAATGACATAGAACCACGAAAGACTGACATGAAATCAGAAAAGAAACTGATGTTTAACGTGTAACATATTAATGTATCTCACCAAAAGAAATCTCCAACATTTACGAATAGTCCAACAGATGATACATCAATGTCTCTTTCATGGCCATATGTGTGTCGATGAATATTGATGTTTTGTATATATGATGGACTTGAACATTACATTGTACGCTGTATCTGTATATCGTAGCAATCACCTGCTATTTCCTTCGATTAAATGTGATTTGTTTACATATGCAATGATGATGTGGTGCCTTTATGACCACTGCGTATCAATATTTCACGGGGAAATGGAACGGTATTATGGAAAATCCATAGGGACAAGTATATTAGGATATATTAGGATATATTAGGATATATTAGGATGTATTAGGATATATGATGGACGCAGGCTGGGAATAAGCCTCTGTGTTCATATCTGTTAATGATACATTCTTGTTAATAGAATATTGTATATGTTCCTTTATATGTGTGTGTGTGTGTGTGTGTGTGTGTGTGTGTGTGTGTGTGTGTGTGTGTGTGCGTGCGTGCGTGCGTGCGTGCGTGTGTGTGTGTGTGTGCCACAGTATCGCCAGATCAAATTAAGTGAACATTTAGATATATGTGGATAGAAGAAATATATATATATATAGAAAAAACTTGATTTGACGAGATGCGAGTAAATTATAAATAAAAATGATTTTTGACAAAAGAAGAAAGACGTTACATTTTGCACTAGCGCTTTCACTGTATTAGATCTTCAGGTGCATAGTAACTGTACATAAGGGTGTGGCGTCACAACATATTATCTGTTGATGACGTCATAATATAAAAGGGGCATAATTATATTTTACAAACTTTACAATGCGGTTAAACATTAATATTCAAGTCTGGATATATATATATATATATATATATGTAAATGTACCACAGTATCGCCAGATCAAATTAAGTGAACATTTAGATATATGTGGAAAGAAGAACTATATATATATATGTGTGTGTGTGTGTGTGTGTGTGTGTTGTGTGTGTGTGAGGGTGTGTGTGTGTGTGTTTGTGTTAGGGTGTGTGTGTGTGTTAGGGTGTGTGTGTGGGGGGGGGGGGGGGGGTGTAAATGTACCACAGTATCGCCAGACCAAATTAAGTGAACATTTATATATATGTTGAAAGAAGAACTTTCGTATATTTCCATTTTATAACGTTTTATCAGACAGTCATATTGCTAGAAATGAGAAGGAAAAGTATTTTATAAAGACATTCAATCCCAAACTAAATAGTTTAACCTAGGATTATCCATTGTAGTTTTATTATCTCCCATATGAATATGACGTCACTATTGAACTGCATTATTAATGACGTCACAATTGTATCTATGTACATTATGTAAAACATCTGAAGAAGAAATGAAAGCGCCTATGTTTTACAGCTCTTTATTTTTTTTTATATTTTTGCTGGGCACGGAGAATTCATCACATTTTCACAATATATATATATATATATACTGATTCAAAATTCAGACTGGGATGTTTGCTTTCCCTGTGAAGCGTAATCCATAAGATTCTTCTTGTAAATACATAGATTTTGGATGAAATGCTTTCATTGTTTTCTGAGCTGAATTTACGCGATACTCCATATTGTATTGTCAGTGTGACTAATAAACTATATCATTACACTGCAGCTAGTTATGGTAGCAGTACACAGTTTCTCGGTGTGGCCATGGGTGATTTTTTTGCTCATTAGATTACCCCATTATAAAGTTTTAATTAAAAAAGAAAAAAAAATCCTTGTTAAAATTGGTCCTGTCATGTTAAAGTGGACAATGTGGGGTTTCATTTTTTTCAGGATAATATTTTAGCTTTGTGTTGGAGATTACTACTTGGGCAGTCTCGAATCTGTGTCTACGCACCAAAAACTAGCTTTACAGGAAGTCAAATTTTCATAGTGTTTACATGTGGTCATGTTATGAAGAATTTCCGAGTTGGAATTTGCTGAAATGTAAGTACTTTGTTACCATGACAGTGTTGTTGATTGTAAGATAGGTGTTTAGAATTAAATTTCTCCTAGAAAGTTGTAGTGTTGGGTTGGAATTAGCAGTATTTTTGCATTTTTAGCATTTTTTCAGTAGGTAACCATGACAATCAAATGTCAGAAATCAGAGGAAATTTTTTTTACACAAATTTCATCTCTCTACTGTTAATGTAATTGTTATGCAGTTTATAAATATATATACATGTAATGATGTATTTTTCATAACCAATCTGCTATACCTGTATATCTCAAACATGACAAATAATTTCAGGAAAAATGCAAATTAACTGTTTACTGCTACATATTGTATTGTAATTAACAGATTAATTATATTCTTCGACGTTGCTTTTCATTATGAAATTAAACTACTAGTACAGTAACTAGTATTACCTGTGTTTTCAGTTTAGTTTAAACATATCTTATTCAACAAAGTTTTAAATGATTTGGGCACAAGTTATTTCAACTTATAAAACGGCCTCTCCAAAATACAAAAAAAAGATACAATGTACATAATACAATTATGACAATACGTATTTCATATCAACAATAAATGACTATTTCTAGAAAGAGAATGAGGAAGTAAGGGAGAGAGAGAAGGAAAGGGATGGGGATGAAGAGAGAGAGGTGGGGGAGAGATAAATCAGTTACATCGGATTTAAATATTGAAAATGGCATGAAACGTTATACTCAAAACCTGCTACTGGACTTTAAAAAGTGCTGAACACGTAAGAAAATTTTAATCTCTAATCATTCCAGCCATTAACATACACTTCACCTACAGCATCTTCCTATTTTAGAGGAATATACTAGCATATGACTCATATGAAATACAATAGAACGCAGATTTACAGATTTTATTGGTACTCTCAGACATACAAAGTATGTTACAAGGAGAGGAGAGTGATCTACCCTTGACTAAGGTATAGGGTCGATTTCTACTCAGCGTTAAAACATATCGTTTTGGCAAATTTAAGAGTCCATTCAAAGTGCTTTCTGAGACAGTCTGAGAAGAAATACGTTCAGAGTAACGGACGTTCAGAAAATCAAGACTGAGGTTGGATTTCAAGGTGTATTTTCAAGAAAATGCAAGGCCAGGCGGACAGCGAGGGTGGAGAAAATGGCGGGCCGCTACAACAAAGGTCAGTTTCGTATGCGAACGTTACTAAACCAAATCCAAGAACCGTAAAGCCTGTATTTCTGAAAGAAATAGAATTCTTTGGAACTAAATCTCCTCCTAAAGATTCCTGGCTCAACCATGTCGAGTTATACAAGGTTATCGCCAAGACAATCAAAATTGAATGTCTCGTAGGACTACAGAGAGTCCGAGGAATGTGGCGCATTTATGTTGATAATGAACAATCGAGAACTAACCTGATCACAAAAGGAGTAGCCATTAGAGGGAAATCGGTTAGGATACATGCGAGCAATCCAAGCTTTCCTTCATATGGCGAAGAAAACAACACCACAATGATTAGAGTTAAAAATGTCCCACTTTCGGCAGAAGATGGCCAGATAAAGCGGGCAATATCACTTTTTGGTTGTGAAATTATCAAAATGTACCGGGAGAGGCTGCGAGTAGATAGCTTCCTCACGAACTGTGAGACTGGTGACCGGTTATTGACTGTCAAAGATCTAAAATCTCCAATACCATCTGTCATAGAGATTGGTAAATATAGAGCGACGGTGAAACATAAAGGCCAGCCAAATGAGAACGCTACATGTAGCAACTGTTTGGAGAAGGGCCACTACGCCAAGGAATGCACAAAGGAAAAAGTGTGCAGGGAATGTAAACTCCCTGGTCACATCAAGTCCGAGTGTCCTAAACTGTGGGTTGATCAGGATCAGTATGGCGATGCTGATGATGAGGACTGTAAAACTGAAGACGACATGTGCTCCACGGACAGTAGCAGTGCTGGTAATGATCAAGAGGACGATGATGCATACACCAGTACTACTGCTGATGCTCCAGACAATAAAGAGATTTTCGTGGAGGCCTCTGAGAGCAAATCGCGTTCGCGAAAACGTAAAGAATCAAAAACCGCGAAAAACAAAGAAGGGAAAAAGGATACACAAACTATGCTAGATAAATTCATGAAGAACACTCCTTCCAGGAAATCAACTCAATTGAGTGCAGACCTACGCTCTCCTCCTGAGGACATAGGTCAAACAGCAAAGAAAAAATGTGAAAAAAAGAAAGACTAACTTATTCACCTTTTATTCAATTTATTCAATATAAATGTATGTACAACTGTGAAAAGCAGGAATATGTTGACTATAATCATTGCTATCCACTTATGTATGTACGATTTAGGTTTTATTTTCTTTTCCAATATAAAAAATAGACAATGTAGTATACAGTCTACATAATTTAGATGAAAAAGATATGTATGCTAAACAATACAGAATGAGTCTGGAAAAATATACATGTATGCATGTAAAGTACCAACAAATACACACTGAGATGTATAGTATATATCAATATTATAACAGGTGTTTATAATATACAATTTACATTTCACAATGGAAAATATACCAATATATGAACATATATATAAAGTACCAACAAATAATATATAGTGTACCATTGCTATAATATGGCACAGTACAAATGTATGTGCATAAAAAAAAAAAAAAAAAAAACCAAAAAACCAAAACACTATACAATCTTATCTATAAATATACACTCTATGATTTGTCAATTTTATCTAACAAGAGTACAATATGTACTTCGAAAAAGAATAAATAATTAGAAAAAATAAGACAATGAAATGTATATGTGATATTGTTATTTTGTGTAATCTGTATATAGAAGGTGAAAATATGTATACTAAACAATACAGAATGTATGTGTATAAAATGTAAAAATATACAGTACCATCAGTCACAATATTATGTGTTCACAATATACTGTAATTACCTTGATTCTAAAGTATACTGAATGAGCAATAGAACTTGTAGCAAGTGCAGTACGGTCAGTACTTTGATATAAGTACTATAATGTAACGCAAGTGTAGTACGATCAGTACTTTGATATAAGCACTATAACACAAAGGAAGAGTACATGTATTATTTTTTGGGTAAAAGCAAGTGTATATATACATTTATTTAAAAAAAAAAAATTTGTTTGTATGTATATACCTTAATATATGGAAGTAACCTCAGTTCACTATAATGCTTATATGTATGTATTCACTAGATATGTTCAGTATAAAAATACATATAAAATGTATATACCTTAATATATGGAAGTAACCTCATTTCACTATAATGCTTATATGTATGTATTTACTAGATATGTTCAGTATAAAAATACATATAAAATG